CAGCCCCCGCCCCCTCTCCAAGAGGGCGTGGCCATGGGTTATTCAGGCCCCGCCTCCTCTGAGGAGGGGGCGGGTCTTGGCAGGCTCCGCCCCCATTGGGCCCTGCCTGCTCCCTGCTCCCTCTGCAGCCGCCAGCCCTGCCCCCCTGCTCGGGCCATCCCCTGTCCCCTTCTCTGCGCCAGTCCCTGTCCTCAGGCCAGTGCCCGTCCTTGTTCACCTCCCTGTGCCTGCCCCATGCTTGTACCAGTGCCCATCCCTGTGCCTGTGCCCATCCCTGTGCCATTGCCTCCATCCCCGTGCCCATCCCCACGTCCATACCCATCCATATGCCTCTCCTCACACCCATCCCCGGGCCATTGCCTCCTTCTCCAAGCCCATGCCCATCCCTGCGCCAGTGACCATTGTCCATCCCTGTCTCTGTGCAGGATCTGCACAGCCCCCACCACCCCCACCCAGGGCATTCCAGTGGGACCCCGGCAGCGGCGGCAGTGCTGCAAGCCGACCCGGCCACCCATCTCTACGCCAGCTACGTCCCCTTGACACAGGACCTTGGGCAGGAAGCCGCTGTTGGATTGCTCCAGGGAGGCCGTGAGCGTGTGCAGCTGCACGGACATTTGCCGGTCTGTGCTCAGCTGGCTGGGATGGCCCTGCACCCTGCCCGTGCTGCACCCCGACAGGTCCAGCCCTCGGTTGTGGCACCACACGGAGGGACTCCGGTGTCCTGGGGTCCTCCCTGGGGGGGTCCCCTTTGCCCACAGCTGTGAGGGAGGTGGGCACGGGGGCACGGCAGCTACTCACTTCCTTCTCCCCCCAGCCACCTCCGGCTCCCTGCTGCAGCTTAGCAAGGTCACGTCCCGAGCACGCTCTGTGGGCCAAGTCCCACCTGCCCCATGGTGACACTTGAGCTGTCCCAATGTCCTAAGGCAGTCGAGCTGGGACCTGCAGCAGCCATGGGGTCCCTCTTGGGCAGGGACCCCCAAAGGAGGCGGCAGGAGGATCCCCACATCCAGGCTGAGCAATGATCCCTGGCTGCCCCGGAGCAATGTGAGCGCCAGGGCTCCCCACCTGCCCCTTCACAAGCAGCCATGCAGGACACAAGGAAGGAGGCAACAGGCAGGGTGGCATTAAACCTTCTGTCTGGACAACGTGCCTGGCTCTCTCCATGGGGCTGGGAGGGGAGTGTGTGCACCCCACGGTGCCCCACAGCACAGCATTGCCCCTTGCCACCCTGGCCTTGGGGCTCCACCTTGAGCCCGTCTGCACAATCCCACAGACAGCACGTGCAGCCACTTCCTTCACACCAGCTTTTAATGTGCCCAGTGCCCACCGTGGGCACAGCTGCAGGGAAGCCTGGCATGGGGGACAGTGGGACGGCCTCAGTGCTGCCTTGGGGGGTTGGTCACAGGCGCTCACAGCGGGTACTCGTGCCACAAGCTGCAGGGCACAGGCAGAAGGAGATCAGCGCGGGTTGTGGGCCTGGCCTGTGCTCCCCAAGAGCAGGAGGTGGCCAGGGCCAACAGGGTTCCCACGGGACCTTTCCCAGTGCCGCTCGGCTACGCTGTGGTCCGGCCCCGCGGGGGTCATCCCCCCCGATTAGCGGCGCCCACCTGTACGTGACGGCGGGGTCGTCTGGGTGCTGCAGGAGGGCGTCGCGCACGGACGCCGGGGGGCTCAGCCCCAGCGCCTGCGCCCGCTCCCACCGCTGCAGCCGCGTGATGCCTGCAGG